TTCTCGCTGCCTTTCAAATATATAAATACATTTTAAAGCTTTGAACCTCTTGGTTCTTTATACTTTTTTCCCCTATAGTCAGCTGAATTTTTAGAAAAAAGATTTGTTTATTTGAAAGGCTGAGTGACAAAGAGAGGGACCCAGAGAGAGAAAGAGAGAAATCTTCCATCTGCTGGTTCACTCCCCAAATGGCTGCAATGGCCAGAGCTGTGCCAGGCCAAAGACAGGAACCTGGAACTCCATCCAGGTCTCCCACATGGTTGACAAGGACCCAACACTTGGGCCATCATCCACTTCTATCCCAGGCACATTTGCAGGGAGCTAGATTGGAAACGGAGCAACCAAGACTTGAACCATCACCCTGATATAGGATGCTGGGGACACAAGCAGTAGCTTACCCTACTATGCTACATTGCTTGCCCCAAGTTTTTGGCTGATTTAATTACTGGTGTCAATAACTATATTTAAATATAGTGATCTTTTTCTAAGGATTAGATCCTTGAATTCCTGCCAATGCCTCCTGATTTTAATAACCTCTTGCCTGACCCTGTATTTAAATTGTTACTGCCTCAATGCTAAGACAAACTACAACCCAAGGGCCAAATCCAGCCTGCCATTTGATTTTTTAAATAGAGTTCTAGTGGAATATAGCCAGGCTCATTTGTTTACTTATTGTCCATGGCTACTTTCCTATTATAAGAACAGACTTGAGGGGCTGATGTTGTGGCATAGTGGATAAAGCTGCCGCTTGGAACACCAGCATCCCGTGTGGGCACCAGTTTGTGTCCCAGCTGCTCCACTTCCAATCCAGCTCCCTGCTAATGGCCTGGGAAAAGTAATGAAAAGTGCCCCAAGTATTTGGGCTCCTGCCACCCACATGGAAGACCCAAAAGAAGCTCTTCGCTCCTGGCTTTAGCGTTGTCCAGCCCTGGCCATGTGACCATCTGGGGAGTGAACCAGAGGATGGAAGAGCTCTGTCTGTCTCTCTCGCTCTGTAATGCCGGCATTCAAGTAAATAAATAAATGATCTTTATTTTAGGAAAAAAAGGAGAGATGAGTAACTGTAACAGAGATTGTACGTCCCACAAAGCTTAAAATATTTAGTATCTGGCCCTTTGAAGATAAATTTGCCCCTCCCTCCTATAATTTGGCTTACTGGACTCTTAACAAATCTGGGAGAAAAGAGTAGTCATGAAAAAAGGATTGCTTTGGGAATGTAACTGACAAATCTGTTGTGGTTTGGACAGAGCTGCTTGATAATCATTCAATGTAGGGCATTGAACATCAACCTGGTTATAATACCTTCACTTTTTCCAAGTCAGAAGAAGCACTTATCTCAGTTCTGGATATCACATAGATTTCTTTTTTTTTTTTTTAAAGATTTATCTATTTATTTGCAAATCAGAGTTACACAGAGAGAGGAGAGAGAGAGAGAGAGAGAGAGAGAGAGAAGTCTTCCATCCAATGTTTCACTTCCCAGTTGGCCGCAACGGCCGGAGTTGCACCTATCCGAAGCCAGGAGCCAGGAGCTTCTTCCGGGTCTCCCATGCGAGTGCAGGGGCCCAAGGACTTGGACCATCCTCTACTGCTTTCCCAGGCCAAAGTAGAGAGCTGGATCGGAAGTGGAGCAGCTGGGTCTCGAACTGGTTCCCATATGGGATGCTGGCGCTTCAGGCTAGGGCATTAGCCCACTGCGCCACAGCGCTGGCCCCTCTTTTTTTTTTTTTTAAAGATTTATTTATTTTATTTAAAATAATTACGGGGGGGGGAATCTATCTATCTATCTGCTGGTTCACTCCCCAAATGGCCACAATGGCTAGGGCTGGGCCAGGCTTAAGCCAGGTGCCAGGAGTTTCTTCCAGGTCTCCCATGTGGGTTCAGGGGCCCAAGCACTTGGACCCTCTTCCACTGCTTTCCCAGGCACATTAGTGAGAAGCTGGATCAGAAGTGGAGCAGCCGGGACCCAAACTAGTACCCATATAGGATACTGGCACTGCAGGTGGCAGCTTAATCCACTGTGCCACAACATTGGCCCCCCACCTAGATTTCTGTAAATTCATATTGAATGATCCATATCATTTGAGGTACATGCTGCCTCTGTTATTTATTTCAATAACCATCTTATTAAATGAAACCAACAGACAGAAATTTAGGGGAGAACATCATTGCCAGCCACCCCCTACACATATACACAGAAGATAGTGGAACTATGTCACCCATTAGGCTCCTCAAATTTCCTTATAAGTGACTGTTAGAACAAATTGCTGTTCTTATAAGGAAAATGACTCAGAAAGGAAATCAAAATTAGACCCACCCATATATCCTTTCATAAAATGTTGAGTTATCGTGTGATATATGCAAATTACCATGCTCCAAAGATGTATATCGAGGCTCAGTATACTTTTTAATTTAACAAGAAAAATAAATACTCAATGGATATAAATGTATAGTAGAGTAAGATAAGTGTTTAGAGAGGTAGAGAGTGTTAGCAGAATGCAAAGAGCGTGAGACAGCTCAGTGAGATTGGTGAGGAATAAAGAAAATATTCATGGAGAAGGAGGCATTTGAGATGGGCTTTAAGGGACCAATAGGATGCACAGTGGAAGAAAGGGGACCCACTGGCTGCGACAGAATTTCAAGTATGTTTTTAACAGATTTGGTAACAGAAAAGCATAGGTGTATCCCAGAGAGCCCAGTGGTCATCTTTGCCTGGACCACTGGCCTCCAAATTTTTATTTGCTGATCAGTGCTGAACCCAGGTAAAGTTTGCACCAGTCCATGGTTTTAACAAAGTCAAATGCAGAATATGTAACTATGTTGTTACATAATTATTAATTATCTTTTCCTGGCCAGGACTGTATTGTATACTGAGATTGTTAGTCCTCTACTTTTCTTTTTAATACCAAAATGTCCTTTTATAAGTGAAACAATGTTGATAGATGGTCAAATTTTTAAAAAAGATTTGGTTTATTTATTTGAAGGGCAGAGTTACAGAGAAAGGGACAAAGTGTGGAGGAGGGGAGCAGGGGAGAGAGTTCTGTCCGCTGGTTCACTCTCCAGATGGCCCCAACAGCCAGGGCTGAGCCAGGAGCCAGGAGCTTCATCCGGGTCTCCCACGTGGGTGCAGGGGCTCAATCTCTTGGGCCATCTTCTGCTGCTTTTCCCAGGCCATTATCAGGGAGCTGAATCAGAAGTGGAGCAGCTGGAACTCGAACCAGAGCCCATGTGGGATGTTGGCATTGCAGGTGGCAGCTTTACCCGCTATGCTACAACGCAGGACCTGATGGCTAGATTTTTTAAATGACCTTAGCAAAAGAAAGAAGTAGCAACTGTTTGAGGGGACTTCAAAAAGTTTGTGGAAAGTGGAATGGAGTTTATTTTAGTGCAAAAAGTTTTTTAAATCCGCCCATAGTTTTTTCATAATGCGCATCTTCAGTGAGGTTTTGAAGACCCTTGTATGTTGGTCCTTAGATTTTGTTTTGAAATTTTACAGAGGTCTAGAGCCAACCTGTGGGGAGCTTTGCGTGTCATAGTCAAGCACATAAGTGAATTCAGAAGACAGTGAACAGCACACAGCTGAACGTTGTGAGCAGGATAGCAAGTTTTCTTTCAGACTGTGGTTCTAGTCGTCTGTTAGGTTAGACAAAGAACAGGGGTGAGAGGAGACCAGCTAAACTATTGTGAGGTCTGTGAAAAAGGAAAATGGCAAGGAGCCTGAAAAGAATCAGATGAATCTAAGAGAGGGTATAGAAGTGAAACCTAAGAGACTGGCCCGTGATTGGATATAGATAGCAGAATGAAAGTGTTCAAAATTACTTCTTCCTATCATGGGAGAAATGTGGATGAATTTCACATGGGAACCGTCCATATTCTTTTTTGTAACTTCGTATGAGTGTGAGACTCTTTCAAAATAAAAAAGAATGAGCAGAAAACACACAAAAAAGAAAAGATGACTCCTGCAGGGTTACCAGCTCAAATAGGACTGAGATGATCTGGGTGAACAACTGTCAAAGTGGAGGGTGGAGGACACACACCCCGTCTTCAGTAGGAAGCAGCTGCTCACCCTCAGTCTGTTGTTGCCGTGTGGGAATGTGGCCCAATGTTGCAAAATATTACACATTTTTTTCGATAAAAGCCAGAAATCTGGAATCTGGATTTTTCATGTGAGATTTCTCAGGGTGCACAATGAGTTAAAAAAAATATCTTAAGGGACAGGTGTTTGACGCAGAGGTTAACATGCAGTTGGGATGCCTGCATCTCATATTAGAGTGCTTGGGTTCAAGTTCTGGCTCTGCTCCAGATTCCAGCTTCCTGATAATGCACACGCTGGGAGGCAGCAAATGATGGATCAAGCACTTGAGACCCTGCCACCCACGTGGGAGACCTAGATTGAGTTTCTGGCTCCTGGCTTTGGCCTAACCCAACCCCAGCTATTGTGACCATTTAGGGAATGAAACAGCAGATGGGAGATCTCTTATCTGTCAGTTTCTATCTTTCAAGGAAGTTAAATTAAAAATAAAAAAAAAAAACATTTTTGCTACCATGTAGGCCAAGTAAAACATACCTGAATAATCTGTTCTATCAACCCTGGCTATTGTTATCCCTTTTCTTCATGGGAAAGTTTGGACATTTAAAGGGATTTGCTACTTGAACATTGTAGCTCTGATCATAAATTTAAATAATATACAAATTTATACCAAAATGATGTATTTCCAAGGTCACAATAAATTATTCTTGGTAGCATGGTTGATTAGAGGTAAAGTGACATGCTTGAGAATTCTTTATCTTACATGGAGACTTGTTTAGGCTCAGGTAACTAAGCCTGTGTGTGTGTGTGTGTGTGTGTGTGTGTTTTAATTTCTGCATTTATACATCTGTCTCCACCAAGAAGCCATTTACATTAATGACATTGCTGTTTTAAGTATTTGAAATCTTATTTCTTGAAAAATATTTTGTAGTAGACTTTATATGACAAAGGTTTTTTTATTTTATCTTCTTAGGGACAATTCACAGGTGTTCCAAGATGAAGCGATAAGAATTAGAAGAAATAGTTCAACATTTATGAGCCAACAATGTCTGGTAAGGAAATGCTTATAGTAGCCTGCTTGCCCAAGACTTGCTTATTGGTCTTAACCATTGGTTCTCAAACTTGCACCTGCACATGGAGGGCTTACTAAACTACAGACAGCCAGATCCTGCCCCCAGAGATTTTGATTCAGTAGTGGAGCCTGGGAATTTGCATTCCTTTTTTGTTTTTATATAAGATTTATTTATTTACTTGAAAGGCAGAATTACAGAAAGGCAGAGAGAGAGAGAGAGAGAGGTCTTCCATGCACTTGTTCACTCCCCAGATGGCCGCAATGGCCAGGAGCTTCTTCCGGGTCTCCCACGCAGGTGCACAAGGACTTGGGCCATCTTCTGCTGCTTTCCCAGGCCATAGCAGAGAGCTGGATCAGAAGGGAGCAGCTGGGACTTGAACTGGCACCCATATGGGATGCCGGCACTGCAGGCCTGGGCTTTAACCCGCTGTGCCACAGTGCCAGCCCCGAGAATTTAGATTTCTAACAAGTTCTCACTTTGAGAAACTCTGCTGTAAACATTATTGAAGGCAAAATAAACACAACAACTACAGTTAGGATGGCTTTAATGCAGCTGTAGCAGAATTAGTTTTTAAATCCCATATGGATTTAACATTGAGATTTGCTTTTATGTATAAGACCATCTGGCTTCCACTCTTTGAAAGAACATTCTAACTTTGAGAGGAAAATTTGCAGGCTCTCCCAAGAGTTGTTTTCAGGCTTTTAGTTTGACTTTTATCTCACATTTATCTTGAACTGTAAATAAAATTTGTTCTTCATGGTATTATAATGAAATCTCTAAGTAACAATTCTTTTCTGCTAATTATCCTGTAAACACAGGAAATATACTTGTAGATCAGCAAGCCAAAATGAATAAATGATTCATTATGATTTTTTTATTGAAGTGAATTTCACATAACATTCAATTAACTATTTTAAGTGTACCAATCAGTGACATTTAATGCATTCACAATGTTGCCCAACCACCACCTCTCTCTAGTTTCAAAAAACACATATCCTTGTCTTGTTACTGATCTTAGTTTTCAGTCTTTTACCATTGAATGTGATATTATCTGTGGGATTTTGGTAAATGTCCTTTATCATTTTAAGGAATTTCCTTTCTCCTACTTGCTGAGCATTTATTTATTTACTTATTTATTTTTAACTAAGGGACAGTGTTGTGGTACAGCGATTTAAGCAGCCATTTGTGACACTGGCATCCCATATTAGACCATCAAGTCCTGGCTGCTCTGGTTCTTTTTTTTTTTTTCAGATTTATTTATTTATTTGAAAGGCAGAGATATAGACAGAGAAGGAGAGAGAGAAAGAGACAGAGAGAGAGATCTTTTATCCATTGGTTCACTCACCAAATGGCCACAACAGTCCAGGTTAGGCCAGGCTGAAACCAGGAACCAGGAACTTCTTCTGGGTCTCTCACGTGGGTGCAGGGGCCCAAGTACTCAGGCCATCTTCCACTGCTTTCCCAGGCACATTAGAAGGGAGCTGGGTTGGAAGTGGAGCAGCTGGAACTCGAACCAGCACCATTATGGGATGCTGACACTGTAGGTGAAGGCTTAGCCCACTACACCACAGGCACTGACTCCAACACTAGGAACTTATTTGTTACCTATTATCTAAACTCCATACCCCTCTCAGCTCTAGTTATTCCCATCCTTTTTTCAGATTTTTTTTAGCTTCCATATACAAGGAAGAGAATGAGGTATTTGTCTTTTTTTTTTTTTTAAGATTTATTTATTTTTATTTGAAAGTCAGAGTTACAAAGAGAGGAGAGGCAGAGAGAGAGAGAGAGAGAGAGAGAGAGAGAGGCCCTCCATCCGATGGTTCACTCCCCAACTGGCCGCAACGGCCGGCAGTGCGCCAATCCAAAGCCAGGAGCCAGGAGCATCTTCTGGGTCTCCCATGTGGGTGCAGGGGTCCAAGGACTTGCGCCATCCTCTACTGCTTTCCCAGGCCATAACAGAGAGCTGGATCGGAAGTGGAGCAGCCGGGTCTCGAACCAGCGCCCATATGGGATGCCAGTGCTTCAGACCAGGGTGTTAACCTGCTGTGCCACAGCGCCAGCCCCTATTTGTCTTTCTATATGGCGCTGTTTTCAGCATGGAAGACACTAAATTATTTCAAGTGCTGTTTCTGTATCTCTTGAGATGATCACATGCTTTATACCCTTTGTTCTATTCATATGATGCATCGCATTGGTTTTCTCATGTTGAATCCCCATTGCATTACTAGGGTAAATCTTTCTTCATCTGTGTTCATAAGAGATGTTAGTCTGTGGGTTTTCTTATGCTAACTTTGTTGGCTTTCATTGAAGAGTAATGCTGACCTTATAAAATATATTAGAGAGGCCAGCATTGTGGCATAGTAGGTAAAGCCACTCTCTGTGACACCAGCATCTCATGTAGGCACTAGTTTGAGTCCTGGCTGCTTTACTTCCAATCCAGCTCCCTGCTGATGCACCTGAGAAAGTGGAAGAAGAGGGTCCAACTACTTGGGCCCCTGCACCCACGTGGGAGACCTGGGTGAAGCTCCTGATTCCTGGTTTTGGTCTGACCCAGCCCTGGCCATTGGGGACAGCATTGTGGTACAGCAGGTTGAGTTGCTGCCTGCAATGCCAGCATCCTATATCAGAGCATTGGTTCTAGTACTGGCTACTCTGCTTCAGATCCAGTTTTCTGCTTCTGTGCCTGGGAAAGCAGCAAAAGATGGCCCAGGTACTTTGGTCCTTGCCACCCATGTGGGAGGCCTGCATGGAATCCCTGGCTCCTGGGTTGCAGCCCTTTAGGGAGTGAACTGGCCACAAAAGAACTCTGTTTTTACAGTAAGATAAATAATTCTTTTAAAAAATCATATGAAAGATATCTGTGACAAATGTATGCCAAAAAATTAGATTTTCTAGATAAAATGGACAAATTCCTAGAAATACCCAAATTACAAACTGATCCAAGAAGAAATAGAAAATTTCAACAGACCTATGACGAAAGATAGAATCTGTAATCAAAAGCTTTCCAGGGCCAGCGCTGCCATGTTGCAGGTTAAGCCACTGTCTGCAATGTTGGCATCCCATATGGGTGCCGGTTTGGGCCCCTGTACCCACATGGGAGACCCAGAAGAAGCTCCTGGCTCCTGGTTTCAGCCTGGTCCAGCCCTGGCTATTATGGCCATTTGGGGAGTGAACCAAAAGGTGGAAGACTTCTCTCTCTCTCTCTCTCTCTCTCTCTCTCTCTCTCTTTCTCCCCCCGCCCCCTGCCTTTCTCTCTCTGGCCCCTGCACCCACATGGGAGACCTGGGTGAAGCTCCTGATTCCTGGTTTTGGTCTGACACAGCCCTGGCCATTGAGGCCGTTTGAGGAGTGAACCAGTGAGTGGAAAATCTCTCTCTCTCTGTCTCTCTCTCTCCCCCACCCTTCAAAACTCTGTATTAGATAAAATAAATATTTTTAAAGCATCATTAGAAAGATTTCCATCCTCTTCTATTTTTGGAAGAGCTTTAGCAGGATTGGTGTTGATTCTTCAAGTTTGATTAGAGGTCACTAGTGAAGTTATCTGTTACTAGACATTTCCTTGTTGGAAGTTTTTTGTTTTTGTTTTTATTTTTTATTTGAAAGTCAGAATAAGAATGCTTTTGGTAGAAACAACAACATTCAATTAGAAAAGATTTAAACATAAAGAACATTTGTTATCACAAATAATACATTCCAAGGAAAGGAAGTTTCAGGGCTGGTTCATTTAGCAGTTCAGTGATGCTATCAGAGATGCAGGTGCCTTCCATTTCTCCACTCTTCCTTCCTTGACTGCTTCACTAGCCTATGTACCTAGTATGTAGAGCCAGGGTTCAGAATCTATGAGTAGCATGATCTCACATGTATTTACAGATGTGGAGATGGATGTGTATGGAGCAAGGAATTATAGGAAGAGCTCTACTTATATTTTGTATATCTCCATGCTATTTGTTTTTTTTTAAATTTTTTATTTTATTTTATTTTATTTGAAAGAGAGAGAGAGGTATTCCATCCACTGGTTCACTCCCCAATGGCCGCATTGGCTGGAGCTAGGCTGATCCAAAGCCAGGAGCCAGGATCTTCTTCCAGGTCTCCCACGTGGGTGCAGGGGCCCAAGGACTTGGGGCATCTTCTACTGCTTTCCCAGGCCATAACAGAGAGCTGGATCAGAAGTGGAGCAGCCAGGACTCAAACCGATGCCCATATCGGATGCTGGTGCTGCAGGCTGAGGCTTTAACCCTCTGCACCACAGCACTGGCTCCTCTCCATAGTATTTGAATGTTTTTCACCATATGTTTACGAGGTCAATTCCATTGTTGACTTCCTTAAAAGTGGTGCTACAGGTACCCAGACTAGTTAAATTCACAGAGATAGAAAACAGAATGGAGGCTGACACAGGCTGGGAGGGAGGAACTGGTATGGAGAAAACTTGTGGAGATTGGTAGCATGACACTACTGGACTCTACCCTTAAAAGTTATAAAGTTTATATTGTGCATATTTTACCACAATTAAAAATTTGGTTTTGCTTTCCATGTATTTCAATACAGGCAAAATGATGTTTTAGAAAACATCACTGTGGCAGAGGACATTGAAGGACCATGGGTTTCATCTTACACAAAAATAAAGATGCATATTTCCCAAGCATTATATAAGACTTATCGCAAAATTATTTTTGTTTAATTGGTGCAAATATTTTCTGCAGCACTCTAGAGAAATCATTGCAAGCTTTCCAATGAACTGAAACCCTAGGGCATCTTCTGACTGTTGGGGCTCTACCTTCCCTCCAAACCAGCCATTTGCTTTATCTCCTCAGACATGCAGGGTCCCTACCCTTCTGCCAGGAATTCTCCTGGCACTTCTGCGTCTGCGTGCAGCTGCACCATGTCTCTGTCCCTGCCCTCTCCTGTCCCACAGGAAGCAGGAGGAACATGTCATCCCCCTAGCAGGGAAGGCTGGGTTTTTCTTGAGCGATTCAGCTGTT